ACCACCCCCACCAAAGAACCACCAACCCCCCCAAAGACCCACCGACCCCACCAAAGACCTACCAACCCCACCAAAGACCTACTGACCCCACCACAGACCCACCAACCCCACCACAGACCCCACCAGGCACCATCTGACCCCCCACCATGGACAAGCTGAAGCCACCAAGAAGGGATCAACCCTACAGCAGATCCACCAACACCATCCCAGATGGACTGATGTCCCCCACCATGGACCTCATCATGGTTGGGTTGACCCCATCAAGGACCGATGAAGCCCACCATGGACTGACCACCCCATGATGGACCCCATCGTGGTTGGGTTGACTCCATCAAGGACCAATGAAGGCCACTATGGACTGATTTCCCCACCATGGACCTCGTCATGGTTGGGTTGACCTCATCAAGGACTGGTGAAGCCCACCATGGTCTGACCTTCCCCACCATGGACCTTGTCATGGTTGGGCTGACCCCATCAAGGACCAATGAAGGCCACCATGGACTGACCTTCCCCACCATAGACTCCACCATGGATGGCCTGAGCTCACCACGGACACTCCAAGCCCACCATGGACTGCATTGACCCCATCATGGACAGATTGACCCCATCATGGACAGACTGACCCCACCACGGATGGACTGACCCCACCATGGCTGGATTGACCCATGGACACTCCAACCCACCACGGATCTCACCATGGATAGACTGATGCCACCACGAATGGACTGAACCTACCACCAACCCCACAATGACCAGAGTGACCCACCACAAAACCCACCATGGATGGACCGACTTCTCCATGGATGGACCAAGCCCACCATGGATGGACTGACCCCACCATGGGTGGACCAAGCCCACCACGGATGGACTGACCCCACCACAGATCCCACCATGGATGGACCAAGACCACCATGGGTGGACCAAGCCCACCACGGATGGACTGACCCCACCACAGACCGCACCATGGATGGACTGACTTCTCCATGGATGGACCAGGCCGCCCATGGATGGACCAAGCCCACCACGGAGGGACCGCGCCCACCACAGCTCCCACCATGGATGGACCGACTTCTCCATGGGTGGACCAAGCCAACCATGGATGGACCAAGCCCACCACGGAGGGACCGCGCCCACCACAGCTCCCACCATGGATGGACCGACTTCTCCATGGATGGACCAGGCCCACCATGGATGGACCAAGCCCACCATGGACCCCACCATGGATGAACCAACCCAACCATGGATGGACCAACCCAACCATGGATGGACCAAGCCCACCACGGATGGACCACGCCCACCACAGCTCCCACCATGGATGGACCGACTTCTCCATGGGTGGACCAACCCAACCATGGATGGACCAAGCCCACCACGGACCCCACCATGGATGGACTGACCCCACCCCAGACCCACCTCCCACCCCAATAAACCCCTCCCCCGCATCTTCATGGCGTCTCTTGACCTCTTGAGGGCCACCTTGGGGTGGGGGTGGGGGGGAACTGGGTCAAACTGGGCAGAACTGGGCAAAAGCGGGTAAATGTGATCCAAAAATGGGCAAAATCAGACAGAAGTGGGCAAAATCGGGTAAAAGTGGACAAAATCGGGTAAAAGTGATCCAAAAATGGGCAAAATCAGGCAGAAGTGGGCGAAATCGGGTAAAAGTGGGCAAAATCGGGTAAATGTGATGCAAAAATGGGCAAAATCAGGCAGAAGTGGGCAAAATTGGGTAAAAGTGGGCAAAATCGGGTAAATGTGATCCAAAAATGGGCAAAATCAGGCAGAAGGGGGCAAAATTGGGTAAAAGTGGGCAAAATCGGGCCAGAAGTGAGGCAAAATCAGGCAGAATTGGGTGATATTGGGCCAAAGTGGGTTAAACTGGGCAGAACTGGGCAAAACTAGGGGAAAATGGGCAAAATCGGGCAGAAGAGAGTGAAAAACAGGTGCAAGTGGGCAAAACCAGGCAGAAGTGAGCCAAAAAACGGGCAAAACCAGGCAGAAATGGGCAAAACCAGGGGGAAATGGGCAAAACCAGGCAGAAGTGGGCCAAAAATGGGCAAAACCAGGCAGAAGTGGGCAAAATCAGGCAGAATTGGGTGATACTGGGTCAAAGTGGGTCAGATGGAGCAGAACCGGGCGAAGGCAGGTGAAAGTGGGAAAAACCAGGTGGAAATGAGTAAAAAACAGGGCAAAATGGGCAAAACCAGGCAGAAGTGGGCAAAACCAGGGCAAAATGGGCAAAACCAGGCAGAAGTGGGCCAAAACTGGGCAAAACCAGGCAGAAGCGGGCAAACGCCGAAATGCCGCGGGGCAACCCGAAGCCCTTGAGTCAGCGGGAAGGAGAAGGTGGGTGAGTCACGGGGCGAACCGCCGCCCCGCCCC